AAAGGTCACTGTTCATACACATCTCAAGTTTGGGGAGGACTGGGGAAAGATTATGCTTTAAATCTATTACAATAATAAAACATTTTTGTCATTTTTACTTGAGTTTTTTAATTTTTCAAAGGCAGGCAGTAGAGTAGTTTGAGTTCCTATCTCATGGTACATTAAGACTGATACCAATTGCTATTCCCTGATTTGAACACTACAGCAGCAAGTCTTTACTCCTCAAAGAAGAGTGTGGGGCAGGCCACAGGAAAGGCTCTTTCTCACCTCCCACTGGTGCTGGGGCATCAAGGTGGCCTTAGCCACCACCTGTCAACAGCCCATTACTGACTCAAGGCCCAACTTGGCCAACCTCTTTGAACTACACAGGAACTTTCTCAATCTTCAGCTTCTCAGCCTTGGGTAAGCCCTTGCTCTTCCAGTCAAACACCTCTAGTACACAACTGGAACCGGTATATGTAATCCTTGCTGTATTTATAGACTAGATGGTTTTTTCAGAAGTCAGAAAAATTACATCTCATTGCACAAAATGGACGATAACTTGATACAAGATGATTTCTTTTCCCTTTAATTCTCAACTAAAAATCAATGTAATAAAATCCTGGCTTTCCATACAGCAGAAATAAAACTTTGAGGTTAAAGAAATGAATGGTGGGGAAAGATTATGCTTTAAATCTATTCACAATAAAACATTTTTGTCATTTTTACTTGAGTTTTTTAATTTTTCAAAGGCAGGCAGTATAGTAGTTTGAGTTCCTATCTCATGGTACATTAAGACTGATACCAATTGCTATTCCCTGATTTGAACACTACAGCAGCAAGTCTTCAAAGAGCTTTGCACTTTCTGGAGCTCTCCGAAATACAACAGGGCAGGGAGGGCACTTAGAAGCAGGATTTTCATCCATCTGCCCTGGATCTGTTTCCACACTGCTCTTTAGCACTCACTGCCCTCATCCCTGAAATTGTCATTAATAATATTTAGTGTAATATTTTTCTAAGTGTGTAAGCTTGGGATTCATATCTAGTTCCTAAACTCTTTGAAAATGAACATTTTAATTGGTCTTACCACAACATCTCTGTTGCTTCTATATAATAAGTATTCAAGGTTTTGGGGGGGGCTGTGAAGGTCCCCATCAGTCCTGTGATTGCTTTCCCCTTGCTCAGTCTTATCAAAGGGAGATATGACAATAGTATGATAGAAAATAGTTCTGGGGAAGAAATGAGCATAATACATTTTCTAACTTGAATATTCTCCCATCTGTTATTTAAAACCATTTTAACTATTTGGCTAAAACACTAAAGTGTTTTTCAACATGTCTCCTCCACTCCAGCCAAGCTGTTGTGTTTTGAAAATCTGTTCATTCCTAACCACCTGTAGTTTTCACACGAAGCCCACAGAACTTCCCTCTGCAGCCCACCTCCCCCCATCCGAATAAATACATCTTTTCACAATACCCTGTGGCAGACCCGCTTCCCATGGGTACTTACACATTTGTTTTAAATTTGTGCGGCGGGGGCACTGGGTTTTGGGCTCGCATCTCTAACACTTCCAAGTAATGTGGCCTTTTCTGAGTCCTACTAGGAAGGCCTGTCACGTTCTCAGCACGAGGGCTCTTCTCTGAGCCATGTTCCCCTGGGTCTGCAATTGTAATCCTCTGTAGCCGGTCAATAACCAGGCTGTCAGAGCAGCTGGCATTCGCTTCTGCTTGACTTGAAGCTCGACGCTGAGGGACATGCTGGCTGGTCTCGGATGCGGAAGTCGCGTTGGCTCTGCTGCTCAGAATTGTGTCCTCTGCCTCTCCAGGCTCTCCCTGGTCATCGAGGCGATGTCCAAGTCCTTGCTCGGGTGAAGTGGTTCGAGAAGATGTGCTGTCGTCAACAGAGGAACAGCTAGGAACTAGTGATGAAATGTCAAGTATCTGATCAGAATTCTGAGCCTTAGCTGTGTCCACGTCAACTCCGGCAATCCCCTTTTGCCTTACTTTGCAGTCTACTCTAATAGGGCGAAAGGGTTCACTTCTGTCTCGAATCGCTTCACGTTCTGCAATGGCCGCTTTCAGTTTGCAAACCGACTCTATGATCTTTTTACCTCTGTCGGGCAATTTGCAAATGAATTTTCTGTCAAATGGAAAAGAGGATACATAAAAGCCAGGTTCTCAAACTGGAGATACAAAACTTAAAAGCTAAAAGCATCATCATCAAAGGCAAAAAGGCTGTTTTTTCAAATACCCCCCCCCCAAAAAAAAACCAAGGGGACCCAGGGAACGTGCCTCACTTGTCTCATTCAACCATTATTTTCGCCAACACATTTTAAACATGTAATAATTGTATATAAAAGAGGAACCCTGGCGGGGTACTAGGTTACATGTTGGGCTGCAGGGTCAACAATTCAAAACCTCCAGCTGCTCTGGGCAAGAAAGATGAGGCTTTCTACTCCCACAGAGAGTTAGTCGCAGAAACTCACAAGGGCATTTCTATCCTGTCCTATTGAGTTATTATGAGCTGGAATTGACCTGATGGAAACGAGTTTGGTTTTTGGTTTTTCTTACATACAAGCCATTCCAATATCTAAGCGTGCTCCTCAATCTAAGCGTGGTCCTCAGGATCCGCACTATTTTTATCGTAATTCTGCGGCAGACAGTGCCTCTTCCACTCCCATGTCCTGGAGTTTCTCCGCAGCTACATCATTGTTCTTCTGAGTTAATGAAATGTGAGTTTGCATATTCTTTTTT